ATGACACGTGGTCTGAAATGGGAAAACATTACCCCAAGCCGAAGAGGTCTATTCTCTTGGAAATGGTTAAAAACCAGCAATAGTTCTGTTTTGTTTCGTTTGATAAAAACTAGCCCAATATCAATGGTACAAATTCTTCGTACCACAAACCGGATCAAAAACACTTGTATTTCAAACCATCTCGTGTATAGTAGGATTACTCGCTTTTTTGGATCCTAGTATTATTATCCTTTATTATCTATTATCCTTTAGGTATAATCCTTGGATTAGTATTAAACGAAGCGAATTGCTCATGAGCTGTGGCATACAGTCTAACTAATGGCGACAAGATGTCTCCTGGTATACTTCATATTAAACGGCTTTCACTACAGTGAAAATAACGAGAACCTACACTGATATATAGTTGTTACACGTTCGAGAGCTTTTATATTGCTCTCGTAATATCGGTCACACTTGGGATTGAAAATTACGTATATATACGACTCAGTGTTCTTAGGACTGGCGTAATGCCAATTAACCCAATTGAGGCTTTTGTGTGTGTGTGTCTTTTTTTCCTTTTTTTTCAGTTTTTTTCCCCTTTTTTTTTTTTTTTTGACGAATAGTGGAATACAAATTCGAATTTGCAGCTAACATAATAAGCTTTAAGGCGATAGAATCTTCTAGGACGAATCGGATAATTAACACATAATAATCTTGAATACAGATACCTAAAGATACCTTAGCAAACAAACTGAATTGTGTCACTGTTAGACAGGAAAGTAAACAGACTTGCGATTATCTACGAGCGAGAGAGAGAGAGAGGGGGGGGGGAGAGAGGGAGAGAGGGAAAGAGAGAGAAGATAAAGGAAGAGCAAGGAATAAATAAAGGAAAAAACAAAGAAAGGAAGAAAGGAAAAGTTCAAAAGAAAATGCAGAAATGCGGGGCAAAAGAAACAAAGAAGGAAGAGAAAGGAAAAAAAACAGAAACAAAAACAAACGAACAAAGAAGGAAAGAAAGAAAGGAAGAAAAAAGGAAAAAATTAACAAACAAAAGATAATTGAATAGAAAGAAAAAGGAAAGAAAGAAAGGAGGAAAAAAAGAAAGAAGGAAAGAAATGGCGGTATTTCTTTTAGAAGTAACAACCTCTACTTTACAGATGCCTTATTAGTTATCGTATCTATTCTTAGTATAAGTCCACCGCCAAACCCAAAGAGGATGTTGTCAAATCAGCACTAATAAAGAAGGAAAACAAGGGATTTCATACTTGGGCTTAAGATTTACAAGCTCCTTAACATTTTACACACGTAGGCAAATTTAATTGTAATTGGCTTTAAGCTTTTTTTAATTTTTTCGTTTCACCCTGCACTG